AACCCAAGAAAACTAGTAAGAGAATTAGTGCCAGGCATCAAATATCCATTTAATACATACCTGTTAAGTTTGTTCTTAGATTACACTTTTGGTGCAGTCATTCAAGAAACACTCATTGGGCACCTACTGTGTACCCAAGGATGGACAGGACTAGGATCTTGTATTTAAAGAGCATGGAGTATGGCAGAAAGACTAGGATAAGAAAGCAAATAATGGTACTAAGACACTGTCCTTAGTATAACAGCTTTTGTCATTCAATATAAAGCAGAAATTTTCATTGACTAATATAGATCTTGTGAAAAAATTTGTTCAAACACATTGCTAACATTTATAACATCATTTCAAGCTCAGGAATGATATATTCCATCTAACCAAATTCCAGTAACCATTGGAGATCTCAAGAAATGAAGAGGCCCTGAGTTTACACCTTAAACCATCTTCTAAAGTGTTACTGAAGGATGAAGTAGCCACTTTTACAAGTCCAGAAAGAAAGCTCAATAGATCATAGAGTAAAATCCACTCTCATTCATCTCATGGTAAAGTGTATTTCAGGCTTCATTTGTAAAATAGCTTTAGGACGTCAACCCCTGTTTTTTGTTTTGTTTTGTTTCGTTTTGTTTCTAAATGTTTAACTCTTCCATCTACATAGCTACACTAGAAGGAATATCTCATTTGCTCAAACGGTTTTTGGCTATTGGCCCAGTAGACAATTTCAGCATGCATTTCTCAAGGAGACAATGTCTCCACCGTAGCTCTGTCCACCTCTGCAGGGACTGCTCTGGGCTAAGGCCCTTTTGTAAATCTCTAAATCCATTCTGAATGTCCGGCTTTCAAGCTTTCAGATTCTATTCTCTTGCCTTGAATTGTCTGCTGTACTCATTAATTACCTTTTTGTGGAAGAAAAAAAAAGAAATCTCTCTCAATTTCCCTAAAGCCCCAGACCTTTCTTAGGATTCACCAAGAAAGGCAATTATCTTTTTGTACAGTATTGATCTGTCTGGACATTTCCTCTCAGTGGATCATCCATTTAGTTCTAGAATTTAAAAATCTTCAGAATGCCAACCTCTCTGTCACCACCTAAATGAATGCCCATTCCTCATCTGCTGGCACCCACCTTTGGTTATGTTTGCTTTCACATTGAGCTGTCTCACACTGGCATTTCATGCAATAAGGAAAATACTTTGGTGTTTCATGTTGTGCATATTTTTGGCACTTCTTCACTTAGTTCCATTTAGGAACCTAAGCATTTACAAGCCAACAAACCTCCAAAATTGAAAGCATGCTTTTTGGGAGGAAACACCTGAGACTATACAGTGAAGCCTGGCACAATTTACTATGTCATAGTACTTTCCATGCATGATTGATAAAAAATATGTCAGAAGTATATGGCCATAGAAAGTCAGACATAATTTTTTACAACTTTACATAATTCATTATACCAGTAAGATTATTTGAAAGTTTCACTGGTAAATACATTTTTGAAAATGATAGATAAGCATTAAAACTGAATACCTCGCACAATCACTTTGAAAAGAGAGACAGCACTGGAGAACAGGGACCTATTGACCAATTCAAATGTTTGCGTTTTTTTTGTTTTTTGTTTTTCTTTTTTCTTGACTTTCTGATTGTCTTGCCAATGGGTTTCAGCCCTGGACAAGTCCGCTATGGATTCAATGTGACCAAAGAAATTGACAGCAAAATGTTCTTGGAGTGAAAGGGTTATACCCAACTTTATTTCCCAGTGGCAGGTCAGTCACTAGAATCCTGTTCACTCAGAGAGAGTCTGCATGCAGCAAGCCGGTCTCTGCCTCTGAGCCCCTCTGTCCGCACAGCCATCCTGCAGCCATCCTCTGGGTCTCTCTGCACAGTCGTCCCTCACAGCCATCCTCTGGGCCTCTGTCCTTGGCGCTACCACCACTCCAGCCTCTGCTCTGTTCTCCTGCAGCCTTGCAGCCCTACCACCATGTCATGCGCAGAGCACTGGGTGGAGCTCTTTTTATAGAGTCAACAGCCATGTAATGCCCACAGGTGTGCAGTGAGCTAGTCAACCACAGCCAGGTGAGAATCCTGGCCACAGGAACTCTCATTTTATCCATACTGATGCACAAAATTATGTTGAGGGTGATTTTTCTAGCCTACCAACTGTTTTTCTCAATATTAAAATGAACTCAATACTCACTTTAAGCTGCAATTTTAATTGTTTCTCCTGGAGCTTGGGCACACAGGGACTGGAGAGCTGAGAATTCTGGATATTCTTTCTGAATTGCCCAAGCCAGTTTAATAACAACAAAAAAGCGGTATCTTCCTGCTGTGGGCTCTTTTTCAGTAGGATACTAACAATTTCTAGGAATTCATCTATGAGAAGACAGAAAGATGCTCAATTATTGGTCTGGGTCATAATTATTATGGTCTCTAATTGTCAGTTGGTTATGTCTGTCAGACTATTGATTATTTCCTGAAATAGAGACATTCATAATCTTAAAATGATGTAAAAATGGTAAAATTTTTGGCAAAGAATGAGTAAGATTCTTCCTAGTGCTCAAATACACTCTTTAAATGAATTTAGTATTTACTTAGGAAAAAAAAGATTACCCTGTCCAAATGACCTATTCTGTGAAAAGTTTTGCTACTTGTCTGTCATGTGATTTAGTATTTGGTGATAGATTCATGCCCCTCTTCACTTTTAAGATGAGGAAAGTCACATCTTTACAGAGTATATAATGCCTCCTTGGCAAGATTTTGAGGGTTCTGCTAGCAGTATATAATTCTCAAGATTTTCCCAAGTAAGCACCAGTGGTTTCCCCAAAGCCTTGTGACTGGTTTTCTCTCTTGTTAGTAAAGGTACAAACCATTCAGGCTCATGAGTAGAAAAACTGATAACACAATCTCTTGGCTTCATCTTACCACCTTCCACTACAGTGGACAATATGCTGTGATTATGTCATAGGACAGAAGGACGTGGGGTCTGAGTGATTCAAGGAACAGACTGCATAGGCATTAGGAAATCCCAGAAAGGAGAAAGAACCCGGTCTTTGGCTCTAGGTCCACTTGACTTTCAATCTGGTCTCAGCTGTTTGTAATGGCAGGCACCTTAGCAAGTCACTTAACATCTACTAATTTTTTCCCTCACCTGTAAAATGAGGATAATAGTTGCTGCCTTTGAGATCATTGAGGGGATTACAGGGAAAAGCAAAACAAAACAAAAGCAGACACATATACTCCGACCCCCCTACTATCAGTTGATACATCATAAATAGCAGACATTTTTATAAGTAAATAGCTCCTCCTTTTAAAGGATGTTTTTATTCTTAAAAGTATTTAAATTGGGTTTGTACCTCATTTGGTGATTTTTCAGGAAAAGGAAATTATTAGATATTTGAAAGCATGTTCTAGTTGCTTCTTTTGAGAGGTCTTCTTCCTGCTCAGGTCAACTGCCACTGACACTCCAACTGGAATGAATGTTTACATTGTGATTATCTACATTCATCACATGAATGTAATAATGAGGAACTCCTAAAAGGGCTTTAGGAAAAGGGAATTCAAAAGGAGGTCCTTGCATTTGTTCTTGGGTTATCCTTTGAGTAAAAGGAACCATGAGTCTATGGTAGGTGGTTCAATACCAGTGCAGACGATAGATGACCTGGCCTACCTATGAAAACTCCACAAGAAATTGTTCCTTGCCAGCCAGGAGGCATGGCGTGAGGCTTACCTGATTGGATTGATGTGCTATGAGCACCAATTCAGGAGCATAGGAACCACATTGCATTGTACCCAGAGACCCACTTCCTCTATTCAGTCTACAATATAAGGCCACAGCAGGGAGAAAAAGCAAGAGAAGAGGAATGTGAGGCATGATGAACACGGGAGCTAAAATGAAATAAAATTAAATAAAAGCTTCCGAAGGGAAAGTGTGTACACACCTGTAAAGAAGAGTATTTGATTGTGTTACGAGTTTTAACTGGACAATCTTATTTAGCGACTCTGGATGTTTTATGCCTTCTCTCCCATCATACCCACTTTTCCAAAATAGTGAGGAGCTTTTATGTGTCAGGCACGATATTGTGAAATATGATCTCATTTCATTTTCGTAACACACAAGAAAGGTATAGATTCTAATCCTAAAGTACAGATGGGGAAAGTGACAGGCAAATGCTTAGGACTATCCCAGGAGGAGGAGAGAGCTAGACTCAAAACCCAAGTTGTTCCGACTCTGAGATCAAGACATTGTGGAAAAGATGCCCTGTTGACTTCTTTGAGACTCCCCCACAGAGGTCATTCTGAAGGTTTTACAATTTCTTCAAGTCTCTAAATCTGCCATCACCCCCGCTGCTTACAGCAAATGACCTTAAAACTATTTTCACTGGGAAGTTTAAGAAAATCGACACGAACTTCCTTGACTCTCCTCTTCTCCAGGTTTTGGTACATTATCCAATGCCCGTTCTCTTCTTTGCCACATAGGAAGGGTTAGCAAAATCAGACCCTCTCCTTGGTTTTTCTCTCACCCTTCCCTGCCTCCTCCAGCTCCAACTTCGTAAGTCTGGCCACCACTTTTCCCAGGCATTGTCAACCTCTGCCTCTGTCTGGCCCTTTCCCTTCTGCCTGAAAACATCCTTCTGTCTCCTTCACCGCACATACGCACCCTTGTCTCCACCCTGCTACCTGGACAGAGATGACCTTCTAGTTGCAACTCCTTGAGATAAGTAGGGCATACATAGTGGCCATTTTCTCATATCAAAAAATTGATTGTCACAAGTGACTCTTACTCAAGCCCTCGATGGTGGCAGAACTAGGAGTAAACCACAGGTCTTCTGTTCCTCAGCCCTGAGATCTCATTCTCCATTCAGTACCAACGGCCAATCAATGTCCGTGGTGACAACGTGAGGTGGTCTCTTTTGGGTAAGGTCACCACAGGTTCCACCTTTCTTTTTTTTTTTTTGTCTCTGTACCATGGAGGCTGCCTTTTACATGGAACAGAGCTGCCAGCCAGCCTGAGTGCCGCGCTCCTGCTCATAAGTGACGTTTCTCTAATTATCGCATCATCCAGACATCGTAATCTGCCCTCGCAGGTATGAAAGGCCCATTAATAACTCTCCAGGGAAGGGAGGCAGCGTCCCAGATGCAGCCCTGCCGCATGATCTGCCCTCTGATACAGAGTTCCCACAATCAGCACTAACATGCCCTCTGATGTGTCACAGCACTCATTGTTTCTCAGCCTCTCGCAATATACAACCAAAAAGCAAACCCCCTTATCATTTAATAACACTCTCTGATACTGAGAGCTGGAGAAGATGGACACGCTCCAAGGGGGTGGAGAAAGCCGGTCATGTGAGGAAGCTATTAGGGCTGCGTACAGGCTCTCACACAGCTGGGAGTTCGGACAGGTGAGCAGATGCCCCTTTAGCTCTCCTGCGGCTGTTCCGCTCAGGCTGGGCAGACTTCCGCAGGAGAGAGCCCCCCCACACAGACACGCAAGGGAGAGGAGCAAGGAAACCACGAAGTCTGGGTCCTGCTCTGTTACAGAGGGTTTGAGCCACTGGTTTCGTCTTTAAAAGAAATGCCGTCTGATACGGAACACCAGGCTGGGAGTCTGTCCTGGGATTCGGGACTGATTCTGGCTATAAGTGTACATGTTTGTCAAGTGAGAAGGGGAACACTTTTCTGTTTAGCATGAGGGCATACTACAATATGAAATGCAATGACGCAGGGCAAAGTGCTTTAAGCTATTGGAGGAGCTATTAATAAAATCATAACAATAATAACAGCTAACATTTAAAGAGGCCAGGCAGTGGGACAGGACTTTATAGGTATCGTCTCATTTAATATGCACATCAACCCCTATGGGACTTTATTATCTTCAGTTTCAACAGATGAGGAAACTGAGGCATACGGAAGTTATGTGACTTGCCTAAAGTGCAGAACGATTAGGAGCACTGTGAAGTAACAGCCAAGGCTTGAACCCCGAAAGTCTGACTCCAGACAGAGGGTGCTCTTGTTAAAGAGGTCTGCTATTAAATCAGAAATTTTGCATTTTAAGTTGGAGAGAACCTGTAAAGAGGGCTTAACAGAAGGGAGCATGAGAGGGCAGAGACCACTTAGGCAAATAATAGTTCACCATTAACAAAACCTACTGATTCGCCCTCTCCCTCTCCATCAGCAGAGCTCAGTCTCCACTTTCCTCGAACTCCAGCTGAAAAGAAGTCTTTCCTTTACCCAGGGCAATCTAAGAACCCAGAGGCTTGTATTTTATGCCCAACTTTCTCAGTAACCCACTCTGTGGCCTAAGGTAGGTGAGTCTCTGGGCCTCGCTATCTTTGTCTCTGAAATGAGCGTGAATGACGTATTGTCATGGGTGCCTCCAGCACTGAACTGCTCTTTCCAACATGCCTACTGGGAACTGCTGAGGGTGGCAGCTCACACTGTCAGCATGTCTCCCAAGTGGGGTGAGCACCCCCAGGAGGTACCACGGTTGGTTCACTGGGATAATGGGGAAAAAAATATGGGACCTATTTATCAAATCTGTCTGTCAAAAATCCTAATGTTTCTGTATGTTGTATAACATAAACATGTTAGCACATGTGTACACTACATAATATACATACAACGTAGCAATAACATGAGTAGCAATAACAATGATAAGATAATAATGATGAGAATAGTGGCTTAAAAGCTTGTGTACTAAGAGGGAAAAAAACCCATCTCATTACACAACTGTATTTGAAGCCTGGGGTTTTAAAGATAATCTTACTGTAAAGGACAGTGCAAGTATCTAAAGGAAGCAAGGCGTTCTTCCTCTGAGATATTGTGGTTTCCCCTTAAGGGTCGAGGATTATTTGAACAGAATGTTACAATATATGGAAACATGTTGACAATGTCCTGTTAGCTTTTGCTACCATCTTGTCTATTTTTCTGAGCCACCAATAAATTAAGTTCACTTTAAAGTAATCCTCTCTCTTGATTTTCCTCTCGAAAATCAGATATTCGTTGTAATACCTGAGATATTATGTGCTATTTTGACCTCTCTAGTTTGGAGAGAATATTGAAATATCAGAGAAGTGACAAAGATAGACTCAAAAAAAAAACAAAACAGAGTGCTACAAAGGCTAGAAGATAAAACGTATGAGGAGAGGTGGTAAGAGCTAAATTTATAGTCTGGCAAAGCAATGACTCCAGGGAATTATATCACAACCTATAAATACCTTAAAGGTAACATAGAATTGAAGGGATATAATTACTCATAGTCTCAGAAGATGATATGACTAGAAGCACTGGCCTGAAGCAATGGAAGAAAAAGTTTAGGTAAAATTTTTAGGACAGGTGGGGGAGAAACTATTGATTGTCTAAGGAATGGAACAGGAAAAACATCACCAGGGAAGCACTTGAAGCATTTTGATAGAAACAGCCCAAAGCCCTTGAGTAAGAAACAGATTAGCAATCTGTTCCTCAGGAAGGTACCACCTTTCACTCTTGTCAGAATTCGGAGCTCTTAGACACACCCCTTGAAGGCAGGCCCACTTGAGAGAAGGCTGAGTAATCAGAGATGTGTGGCAGACTCTTAATTAGAGGAGATTAGTCAAGAAAACTCTGACATACTGATACAGTAAAGTTAAGAGTTAAAAATAGGAAAATGTGCTATTTTATGCATATAACAAGTAATGTATTTTAGGATTGATACCCACCTTTACCCAGAGAAATTAATAAAAACTTCACCTATAAATTACCATTCTGTATTTCAGTATGAAGGATCTTAGAAGAGCACAAATAAGTTTAACCACTGAGTTAAAATCATTAAATGTGCTATGCTTAATAACAAATCATATACATGAGTTGGTGAGTCCCAAGTATTTCTGAATAGGCAAATATGTACCGTTAAGAGAGTAAAGTAAAAGTCAACTCCTAAGCTCTTCTAAACTGAAGATACAGCTGTGTCTATGAAAATGGTTGAGAGCACTATTTATGTATAATATGTGAACTTTTAAAACTTCTGTATGAGAGAAGTCATAAAATCAAATGTCTGTGTGGGTGGGGCAGGCAAGGAGATGAATGAAATAGGCGACGAGATGAATGAATGAAGAATAAAGATGAATGAAAAAGAATGAATGGGTGACAGAGAGTGGGTGGAGATTGGAGTAGCTAGAAAAGGTATGTCCATTGGAACTGTTTCTCATCTCCGTTGACGAATGGCACATAGGAACACCGGCCCCGTGTAGCTGAACCTTCCAATTTTTTAAAGAGAAACTGGGAATCTTAAATTGTATATGATATATCTGCATTTTAAAATGTATTTGGGTACAGATGAGGCCTGAGGGACATTAGCTAGGCATATTCTCCAAACTCCTCACACTGAAAATAAGGGGCACCCTGTCCTCTGAGATGAGGAGCCAGAAACAGCATATAGTAGAACTAAGTGGAAGAAGAGGGCTTGTTTATGCAGTGCTGTCAATCACTGGGGAAAGAGAAGGAAGAAAATATTTCGTTCTTGCTCTTTCATCCAATGAATCCAGGAAGGAAGGAGGTGGGGGCAAATGCTCCATTTCAGATGCCCCCAAGCAACTGCCCTGCGTATGCTCAGGAATCTATATGTGACCTTGTTTATGACGAGTGAGGTGGGTAAAGCTGGATCTGCCTCACTGGAAGTCATCAGGAACCGCAGAAAGTTCCCTTAAAAAGAAATCAGATATTCCAGCTACCCTAAAGACTGAGAAAGCAGAACTGTGGCTCAGTGGGCATTTGTTTCCAGAAGTTGGTGTCTGAAAAGCAGTGGCTAGGTTTCTAAAGTCTAGAAATTCTAGGTCCAAGTTTAGAAGGTGGCTCTTGGGGGTTAGCAGTAGAGTCTGAGCTCACAAAACAGTACTGTTCTGTTTAGGTTTAAAAAAACAACAACACATGCACACACATTTTTCCTACTGTGTGAAATGAATTGTTTGGTGCCAGTTCTATGACCATGGCCTCCCCGGCATAGATATGTCACTGTTCAGACAAAACCTAAACAGCTAAATTGCACAGAATTCAGCATCAAGTCTCATTATTCTGCATTATAAGTTGTTCTCAAAGATAAGTTTGGTTTTCCTTCTCAGGTTCGGGTCCACAGAAAAATTCTTTGTTAGTATCTATACCAAACACTAAATTCTAACAAAGGTGCAATTTGTGAAAACCCAAGAAAACTTTCTGATCATGCTTTCTGTGTTCTTTCATATCCATTATAAGATGAGAATGTTTTTGTTCTTATTATCAAAAATTGATAATTTATGAGGGGGAGGCCAATGATAAATCCCCTATTCCAGGAGAAGGTCTCTCATGATACGGTGAATACCTAGTTTTGGATGAAACACACTTAATTGTTCTTTGGAGAATAACTGTACAGTGTCATTCTTTGAATCTCTGCAGAGACCAAGCTCAAATAAAAGATTAAGACATAGAGAAAGGAAAGAAAAAGACTTCTATGGTTTTCCTCAGAGCTGATTACTGTGTCTGTGTCTCAGCCCAATGTTTGCATGTGTTTAATGCACACACACAGCTTGACGGAGGAAGCACACACTCTGTGTTTTGCTGTGTTTGGGTGTGAATCAAAGGGAAACACGTGGTTCCATTCTGTTGCCTGCGGCATTGAATTAAGGGAAGGGAAACTCCTAATTTGTACTGATACTGTCACCACAGGGGATGATCCTATAAACCGCAGGGGGTTGGGGAAGGAAAGCTCTAGGTAGATGTGTAGACAGGACAGTCCAGGCAGGCTTGGAAAGGGTACCAGAAATGCTGTGCCAGATCTCCCAGGGAGGGGGGGTTTTCGTTTGTTTGATTTTGGTCTTTGTCTTTTTTTTTTCCTTGGCTAGAACTGTTTGGATGCTTCGAGCAATTTCCTGTCTGTGAAATATAAATGGATGTTCTGAAGGGGAGGCCTGCACAATTACCAAACAAAACAAGAGGAATGGTCATAGAACAGAAAAAAATTGGTCAAAAGGAACAGAAAATGAGGGTGAAGATGTTACTCTTTTTTGCCTCATTTTGGTACCGAAAACCAATGGGAGAGGTTTGTGGTGGTGGTCACAGTAGAACTCCCACCTACTGAGAAGGCCTTGATTAAGAATAGGAGGGATTCATATGGAGACTTGGGAGGAAAAAAGTACAGAGATGGAAATAAAAGTTCCGTGGGGATTTGCCAGTTTGTTGATAAATTAATTAAATGCATATGATATCACATTTTCACAAAGTTCTGCTGAACTCAGGGTCTGACTGCTTGTACCCCTGAGGACTCCCCTACCAGAATAAAACTCCATGAGATCAGAGAATTTGTCTGTCTTGTTTACTCTTGGACCTCCAGCTCCTAGAACTTACCAGTCGTAGGAGCTGGTTGAATAAATAAGTAAATATATTTTTTTCACTCGAGCAGATCTAATCTTTTCAGCCCTCTTTAAATTGAAGTTAGGAATTCTATTCCTCTCCTCTGCCTCTTTTATAAATCCAAGTTTGTCATGTTACACTCTTGCTTTCTGCCCCTCTATTCTATTCCCAACTAAATCTCAGAGAGATTCTGTCTTTTTTTCTTTTTTTAAAGGTCTATGCTTTGTGGATAGTCAACTATCCCCTGGCGTGCTCACAGTATTTTGACGTGCTCACATGTCAGACCAAACTCATTTTCCTCTTTCAAGCTGTGGGTAAAATTGCAATATATCCAGGATCTCTCGCCTGCCTTCGGGCATCTCCATATCAATAGGTGTTTCCAAGGGGTGGAGAGAGAAGTAGTTCATCTCCATATCAATAGGTGATTACAAAGGGGATGGAGAGCTAGTGCTTAACTGGACCAGAGAGGTTTTCTGGGATCATTTGTGCAGCTGGATCACAAGAGACATGGACAAGCAGGAGTAGACAACTGCTTGTATGCAAGAAATAGGTTTCTCCCACTTTATTTCTCCCTTTGACTGATTTTCGCTTCAAAGGTTTATTTGCCCCGGGCTGGAAACCTATTTTTCCCCCGGAGTTACACAAGCTTTAGAATTGAGTATGAGCTTTGCTGTTTAGCCATGCCACAAAATCACCTCCAGGACTGGTGATCCAGGGGGCAAATATGCAAGCTTGCTAACTTTAGGAATGGGACATCAAGTCAGGGGCACACTGAACAGATTCTGCTCCCACTCCAAGAAATGTGATTTTCACTGTAAAAGTTTCTCTTTCAACTTTTTACTCTTTCTACCACTAGCTATGAGAGACTAACAGACTAGTGGATGACAGCCTAGGGCTGTTGTGAAGACACTCAGATCTAGTTTTAAATTAGAAATATAGAAAATTAAATACTGACTGCAGAGAGACTAAATGTGTTTCTGTGTTATTTGAGATCATTTAGGATTTTCAAGCAAGGATATCAGAAGCCTTCTAATATGGCACTTTATCACCCAGAAATACGAGACTGCATTTATTCAATAATCTCTGCTCAGATATAGTACATTTGAAAGGATTTTTGTTAAAATTTGGGAAAATTTGCCACTGAACCTCTTGGTCCACTATATTGCATTCAAAGCCTGAGATTAGTTTCCAAGCCCCTTTTGCATAGCAGTGTTTAAGAGAGTGGTTTGCGGGTAATTGGGCGCCTTATGCTGTTGATACAAACCCAAATACTGGGAAGCAATAAAATGTAATAGAAAATGAATTTCTTTGAATCCAAAAAGAAAGTGGCTTACTTCCAATTCCATATTCTGCTTTAGTCACAAGGCTGTGCTCCATCCCTCTATTTCTGTTTACCATTCTTAACTGTGTAGATATTTTTAAAAATCACAGCTCTGCTAAATTCACCACATCCAACTTCAATATTGAATGGGTAATTATTGAAAGTAGTATATATGGCATTGAAATCAAACAAACCGGTATTTTAGTAATATTTTAGTAATATTTCTTTCCTGTAACACTGGACAAATGGTCACTTAATCCTCTGAGCCTTGGTCTCTTGATCTCTAAAATAGAGGCAATCCCACCAGTTGGCAGTGTGGTGAGGATTTAATGAGTGACTAACACACTGCCTGGACAACAGCAGAAACAGAGGTTTGATGCATGCCATCAGGTAAGAATATGAGTTTGTAGCCATGAAAAGCCAACTGTGTTTTTCTTATATGCCCCCTGTTTATTATTCTTGCTAATGAAAGTATAGCCTTCCCAGTCCAGACATTTCTTCTTCCCTTTTCCATCCACCCAGTTGGCAACACCTGTCGATTCTATCTTTGCAAATCTTTTATTTCATCCTCATTACCTTCCTGCAATCATCGTCATCATAGAATAAGCTCCTAAAAACACTTTCCCTGGACCACTTAAACAGTAACCTGCTGTTTTCCTTGAACCTACTGAAAAATTATGCTTTCAACAGAGCCAAAATGGTCCTCCTGAAAAATCAAGCTTTGGGAGTTTGCTTGTGAACTTTCAATGTCTCTCCATTCCTTTCCAAAGCTGTCTATCAGTGTGGCATTGAAGTCCTCCCACTGTGGTTCTAAATCACCAGGCAAAAAAAGTTAAACAAAAAAAAATTTTAAACATGACTATCATTAGTTTAGCAGTTACTGTGAAGGAGACACTCGTTATACATTTTACATATGTTATTGTAAATGTTCATTTCCAAGATGGCATTATTACTAGTATCTCCATTTTATAGAGCAGATAATTCATCTAAGATCACAGAGTTGGTTGCAGAGAGATAGACCTTGAATCACAAACTTGCCCCATTTTCTTCCTGCTATTCCATGTGCTCTGCCTTTTCCCTCGAACTGTTTATTCCTGTCAAACTAATACCTCCCTAAATTGAGACTATAGCCTGTATTTCCTTCCTTGAGGCTATGCCCATGTTGGCATTTTCATCTGACCTGATCTCTCTTCAGGTTCCACCAGTCAAAATCTGATCCACCCTGTGTTCATTTCTTTAATCTCTGCAATAAATAATATTCTTACCTTCCTTGGTACATACCAATGCTGCCTTAAAACTGAGTCAAATGTACAATCTTTATTTCCCTCGGTGTTTATTTCTCCAACAATTCCAAATAAATTGCTGTTCTACAAATGTGTTTGAATTAAAACTGTCACCACTACATTTTCTAGTCTGAAACTTTCATTAGGAACGTAGTAGTGATTAAGAGTCAGAACTGGATTTGAATGGCTGCTGAAGGCTACTTTGGGAAAATATTTAGCTTCATTTGTAGGATCTGAAAAATCAAAAGTTAGCATAAGTGCATAAGTATAGCCATCTTAAAGGGTTAAACACCACCCTCTAGCCTAGGAGAAGGAAAATTATTAGAATCTTGAAAAAAAACAAATTAGTCAGCCAGTGTTAAATGTAGTGACCTTCAGTTAGCTAACCTCAAATCAGTTAATCATGAACACCAGGTGGTGGGCAGCTGCGGCCTTCAGACTGCTAACCTTGGTCGGATAGTCATGCATACCAAGCTTATCTTGCTAAAACACTGTGTAAGAAAATACTGTCTTTTTGAAAATGCTATGCTATAAAAACCTCTGGCTTAGACTATTCAGGGTCCTCGTTGAGACCCGCTGCGATGGGCTAACTTGGACCCCTGTTAGCTGGTTCCTGAATAAATTCCTCTTGCTTGTTGCATCAAGAGACGTCTTTAGTGAGTGATTTGGGGCGGCGTCCTCCTCTGGGAGAATCCAACATTTTGGGGGCTCGTCCAGGATCGTGCGCTCACCCCGCTTCACTCCCGAAGCCGTTCTTGGAGGAAGAGGTAAGGTTAGTGGCGCCTTGAGTTGTCTGTGTTCTGTTTTCTGTTTTTCAGTGAGACCGGTCGGAATTCTGAAAGGGTACCCTCTGTCTGGCAGTCGTCCCAATCCCGTAAAGGGGTCGAGACTGCGGTCGGTAGACGTACTGGGGCACCGCAGGCTGCAACCCTGGGGGATGCCTCGGGGAGAGTGGAGGGCCAGGGACGCCTGGTGGCCTCTCGTCTGTTTTTCCAGCAAAGTGAACCTGATGAGATAGGGTTGATTTTTGGGCGCCGGGAATATCAACCCTCTGATTCCTTTCGGTTTCTGTTTGAAAATCTGAGAAAAACAAAAAGCGGCCGCTGTGTGTCTAATGTGTGTGTGTCTTTGTTTTCTGTGTCTTTTACGTGCCTGATTATTGTTATACTGACAATGGGACAGACAGTGACGACCCCCCTTAGCCTGACGTTAGATTATTGGACGGAAGTCAGAGCGAGAGCGCATAACTTGTCAGTAGAAGTAAAAAAGGGACCATGGCAGACTTTCTGTACCTCCGAATGGCCCACCTTCAATGTTGGGTGGCCCTCGGAGGGGACTTTTGATCTCCCCACTTTATTAGCAGTAAAAGCCATTGTCTTCCAGGATTCGCCTCAAGGACACCCGGATCAGCAACCCTATATCGTGGTCTGGCAAGAGTTGGTGGAAAATCCACCGCCCTGGGTGAAGCCCTGGGTGCAGAAGAAAACGGGCCCTCGAGTTTTAGCTGCCCAGACCCAACCCCAGAGCAAGGGAAAAGAAACTATTAAAGTTTACCCTGACACTCAAGATTTGCTTATGGTTGATGATCCCCCTCCTTATCCTCCTGCCCCTACGGCACCCCCGGCCCCGGCACTGCCGGCACCGGCACCCCCGGCCCCCTCAGTCCCTGATGCCGAGGCAGTAGGGCCGGCTCCGGGACCTGCCCAGGGAACTCAGCGCCGCCGAGGGGCCACCCTGGACCCACCGGGTATTTTTCCTCTCCGGTCTTATGGAGTTCCCATCCTTGGGGAAGAGGGGGAGCCGCCCTTCCAACCTTTGCAATATTGGCCATTCTCCTCTGCTGATTTATACAATTGGAAAGCTTCCAGTATATACTTGAAGATCTTGCTTGTATAAACAAATTAGGGTTCAAAAATTCCTCGCCCCACGAGATATATAAGTCTGAAAAAGGGAAAGTTGTTCTGCCCCAGAGAGAGGCAGAAAAATACTTAAGGCAATTACATCAATTGACACATCTGGGAGCAAAAAACCTAAAGACCCTGGTTCGGGACTCCCCTTATCATGTTATTAGATTAGGAAAATTGGCTGACGAGGTTGTAAGAAATTGTGTTCCCTGCCAATTAGTGAACGTGAGTAAAAATCAAGCAATATCCGGGAAGAGACTTTGAGGAGATCGCCCAGGAGCCTATTGGGAAGTTGACTTCACTGAAATTAAGCCTGCTAAGTATGGATATAAATACCTTCTAGTTTTCCTAGACACATTTTCAGGATGGACAGAGGCGTTCCCCACCAAAACTGAGACAGCTCAGACAGTGTCTAAAAGG